AGGCCGCCCCACACTGGAACTCTCATGCGGGTTGCGAGTTTGCGGGTTTTGAGTTTGCGGGCATAATACTAATTCATAGAGTGATTAGACCGCTCCCTTATGGTAACTATAGGAATGCAGTGAAGCCGGTACACCTTCAGAAACTTACATATAGTCGCAATACCAGCGCAATGAACCAAAATCCGACTCCAACGAAAAACCCGCAAACCTCGCAGAACTCGCAGACCTCGCAGCGAGGAAAATCGAAAGTTGACTCAAAATCAACTTTTGGAATGCGATGCAAGGTGGTTTGCAAGCTAAAAATATGCAGACTCGCTTGCTACATGGTAGCGTGGGTCACTCAGCTTAGATTGTATGATTTGTTTTTGAAGAAACCCGAAAACTCAAAAACTCGCAACCCGCATGCGAGTTCCAGTGTGGGGCGGCCTTTAGGGTGGGTGTCAAGGTCACCGGAAGGTTAGGTCAGGTCATTGACCTTTGATGACCTCGGTTCACTTTGTCAAATTTTACATGTTTCTAGGCTAGTTTTTTTTTTTTTTTAGCTGAATTCGAATGTCAGGGGCGGTTGCCATTTACTACAAATACCCGGCAAAACCCTTACTGGTTGACCTGACCTGACCTGACTTGACTCGACCTGACCTAAATGCATGAAGGCATCATCTATGATTATAACTAACATGATATTCACGATCAGCACACCGAAAAAAAACAACAGCCACACTCTACTACGTTCAAATAGCTCCCGATTTTCCCGACTTTTGGGTCATTGACCTGTCCTGGAAGGTCAACCGATGACCTAGGACCTTAAAATTGGGCATCATTTCTTCCTCTCGTCACGGGCAGCATGCTCGTTTTTTTCGCGAAGCTCTAGCTCAATCAGGGGCGAAACGGCAAAGGGGGGTCCAACGGATCCCCCCATACATTCGCGGCTGGCAAAACACCCGAGGGTTAAAAAACGGCGACACTTAGGCCAAATATGAGAGCATTGCTCAAAAGACCTTTAGAAGAGATATCGAATGCATTTCTCCGCGGCGTCGTAGCTCTATTCGTTCGTGAGATAAGCAGCGTCTTTTTGTTAACCTCCCTTTTTGTTAACCCTCCCCCTCCCTGCTGGGGAGGGGGGAGGGGGTATTTGAACACTCCCTCCCCCGCCCCTGTAGTTTTTAACCCGCCCCTGTAGTTTTTGGCACACCTTACTATGCATCAATTCTACATATGTTGTGAAAATTTCCGACCAAGGTCATTCAAGATCAGGTCACCAAGTCACTACAAGTGACCTGGTTCACTTAAGTGAAGATGTCATCCCAGATCACGGAAATCTTTTAAAAAAAGTTTCAATGTCTGCCATAGCTAGATCGAGTGACCGATCGCTTTGAAACTTTCAGCGATTGCTAAGAGCAATAGTATGTTCAAAATGCATATCTCGGAATTTTGATATCGGTGACCTTGTCAGGTCAATTTTGCGACCTCCCCAATATAAACAAGTCAATGGGTGAAAGTGGAAAGCCGCCTCTTTTTGACGAAAGGCATTATAAACACTCTCAAACACTGAATTACGAGTAACTTAGACAATGACATACTGAACATGAAAATGGAACCGTGACTTCTGTTTATGCCCCTGAGGTCATCTTAGGTCAAGAATGGTATCTAAAAGTTTTTCGCGAATAACTTTTGACAGAGGCATGCTAGAGCGATGAAAACGCCTTAGATGTGTTCAGCTCGATGATACAGATCGACTGATATGCAACATGACCCTTTCCGGTCAGGTCATGACATTGACCCGATGTCAGATTTTCAAGTTGACATTTCAAATTATGGTTCATTCGATGCGTCTTGACGAGAGAAACGCGATGCCGGTAAAAGAAAGCTGGTGCAAAGCTTACGTCAAAAAGTTATTGCAGAAAAAAAAATCCGAAAAATTGGCTATTTTGACAGTTTTTGCCCACTGCAGGCAAAACCGTTGACGTTATGTCAAATCTGAGAGATATATTCAGAACGAACGTTAATAGGGCTATCGAGTGCGCTTTCCACGACGCTGTAGCTTAATTGATTCCCGAGTTATGCGTTGGCTTCTTGGAAATTGTCGACATTCGACCTGAAAATCGGCGAAATTTTGCCTTCAATGAGCTCTGGTGACCTGACCTTTGACCTGACCAAAAAGTGACCGAGGTGATTTAGACATTATTTTTGGCGCTCTTTCGAACGCCGCCTTCCTTGTATCGCTAGTGGCCCAGGAGTCGAGTTAGAAGGGGGAGTTAATCCCCCGCCCCTCCCCCCCCCCAGCAGGGCGTGGAAATCCAGGACTCCCAGCGGGGCGCGGGTTAAAAAGTGAGCGAAATGTGACATTTGATGACCTCTGGTGACCTGACCTTTCACCTGACCTACAAGGTGATCGAAATAGACTTTTGTTACGCATGCTAAGGCGTAGAAAACCCACTTGGATATCTTCAAGTCATATCTATGCTGTCGTCTAATTTGATCAGGTGAACGGCTGTGCCTAGTTGAGCAAGGCTAAGCATAATGATCCTTCACATAGGAAATGCCCTTTAATCACTATTGATTGTCAACATCATTAGCATTGATGGGTTATGGGTGCATACATCCTCATATTTCTCCAAACGTCGTATATCTTGCACTTTACAGCTGTGGAAAACGAGCGGAAGTGGTGACTATACAGGGCTAGTATGCCTAGCGAGACCGTTAGGCAGCGCCAGCGTTGGTGGCGCTGCGGACGGCGCAGTCCAGGGGGCAGCAGAGGCATGCCAGCTCAGTGGCAAGTGAAGAGTCTCGCTCATGAGGGAGATGCGAACGTTTGGTGGCACTATTTCAAATTATTTTCTAGCTGTCCTAGGAAAGAGGAAGGCATTAGTTGTTCTACTCTTAGCGGCTAGCGCCCGCGAGGATAAACTGTGTCTAGAATAACGGAAATGCTACTCTGAACACCAAAAAGCGATATTCATTAAATATATATGAATATATATTTGCATGCAATGCAATAAAATAGGCCTTTTTGAGCATACACACACACATACCCAAGAATACATCCCTCAACACAAGCTACACAATGGACACCATGCTTTACATAGACATCCACATCAAACTATCCTACCTTACCATTATGCCATTAGCTCTCGATTTTTAACGCTAGCACGCTCGTAGGCGACGCTCTCGCCGAACAGAAAAGTCGACGCTCGTTCGATCCACGGTTGCATTTCGCGGCGAGGGGGTTACGCTACCGTTCAGCTCACGGCTGTCCTCGTCTCGATATCGCTCGGCCATGTTTGGAAAGGTACGACTGACTAGTGTGGCGAGGCTGCGCGCCGGGCTCCCCGCCAGCTGGGGTATGTATGTACCTAGCTGCAGTGTTCCGCGCGGCCGTGGTGGGAAGTCGGCTCTCACCGCCGCGCAGCAGAAAGTTGGCGAATTCGCCGGCCTTTTAACGCTCACATGATTGCAGTTAGGGTCATCCAGCCTATTCGAGGCCATAAAGCAGGTGTTGACCCTTCGCATACGTACGTACCATTCTTCAACACGAGTATGATCTGCCTTCAATCGTCAGTCATCATTCAGGATACCCCGTGGAACATAGCACGGGCAGTCGCGGTCCGCGGATATCCATAGCCCAATCGACTGACTAGGTGCCAGGCTGGTGGTCGCCCCAGCCGTCTTATCTCACACAGTGAGATGCTCCCTCCCACAAGTACGAGTATGATACCAGATACGACAGCGGATGAGCTACTCAGTCTCGGTCGTGCTGAGATCGACTCCGCATACGTTACTGTCAACGCGCAACAGCAGGGGGATCTTGGACCAATGCTGGGCAGTCGTGCCCGCAACCTACATCCCTCGAGCATGCTGACCGCAATACCAGATGACGCTACTGTAGCGGCCAAATGTCCCCGACCTTAGACCATAGCTAAAAGCAGGTTCTCCAGGTACCCCTCTCCGCAACCGCCCGGAGCTCGCAGAGCAATGAAGCTCAGATCGGTGATGCCCAGCAGCTCCCAATCGCATGTGCCTTCCCTTGATTATGTTCAGCGCCAAGAGGAAACCAGCAAACCACCCGGAAAGCGCGTCACGGTTGTCTCCTCCACATGCGCTCCGCTCTCATCAACTTCCGGCTATCTAGATTATAAATGCCATCGAATTTACACAAAGTTAGCCCAGTCTTATCCGGCACACAAACTGACACCGTCTCGGTGACTCCGTTTCAGAGGCTAACTGCCGGGGTGACACAGAGGTTGAAGCGCCACTTGACACACAGGGGTGGTCTAAGAGAGAAAAGAAATAGCAAAAGCCAACGAGTGATACTGGTTTACATGTTTTAATGATTCTTTACACTACAGCTTATCAACAAAAAATGCCCAGAGTTGCGACAACAGGAGCAGCTACTACAACTATAATAAATCGCAAGGGCATGCACAAAAAAAATGAATCACAGGTAACTGCATCGCAGCATATTATGCAAGCGTGAGAAAGAGTAGAAATAAAGCAGCTTGAATCATCTAGCACGCGTTCGTTCGCTGCAGATACCAAAGCCCGAAACAACTGAAGTGGAATATTTGTCTTACTAGCCTTGAGAACAATGCTCTCGAACTATTCGGCTTCGCACAAAAGCAAAATGGTAATTACGCATGCAGAATCGAGCACCAAAAACTGTTGATCCATTCTTTCTTACGTATATAAGTGCTAATCGGTGAGTATATAAAAAGCTCGTCGTTTCCCAGGGCACCCTAAGAACGCCTCTGATCACTAGCAGAGTCCGCTGGTGGCTGCGGCCGGCGCAGAGACCGGTGAGCAGGCGGCTACGGACTAGTATGTGTCCAACAGACGGCATGTGTCAGAAAGACAGGCAAAGGCACTTAATCACTCGGGGAATTCGTAGCCGTGACTTGTAACTCGTGGCCCGTCTGAAGCAGTGATATTTAACAACCGGACCCAACCCATGGCAGACGGTCCGTCCCCACAGAATGCCCAGGTAGAACAAGAAGTCGTCGCACCTCCTACTTGAGATACACGTTGACGATGTTCTCCACCAGCCAGTCAATGCTGAACTGCAGGTGGTCGCCCTCCGTCTCCAGCATCGTCAGCTTGCCGTCCGCGTCCAGCTGCTTCAGGCCCAAGTAGTCCTGTCGGTGGTGGTTCCGTCAGAAGTCAGATGACTCAGTCAGGGGGTAGGACGGGTGAGGTGAGAAAGCAGGACTGGTGATGAGTAGAGGGGACTGGTGAGTGGCGACCGACTGGGACACAGGTGATTAAGAGAAGAGGCGTGATGATGATTGAGGCCTGGGAAGCACCACCAAGCTGCATCTCGACCGTCCTTAGACCCCGCTGTGCAGCTGCCAAACTGAATAACGATAATCACTTCAGGGCACCAGTAAAGTTTTCATCATAGGCCATAAGCCCCTAGAGGAAAGGTTGTATCACAAAGATCGGTTCTTATTACTGGTCTGACTGTAAAGACGGCAGCTGAGCGGAGTAACGCTCCACCCTGGCAGCAACCCGGTGCACTCACCTCAGTGTAGATCGGAGTCTGCTGCAGCGGCACCACCACCTGGTCCTGGCCCAGGGCGTAGAAGCCAAAGTGGGAGGACTCGCGCGGCACCACCATCGTGTCGTTGGAGAACATCACCAGCACCAGGTTCTCCAGCTTGTTCAGGTTCTCCTTGTACGTCTCGTTCTTCACATCCTGCAGGAAAACGACGGTTTTAGATGATGCGTTCAGATACGCCACAAAAAAAAGAAGAAAAAATCAGTGACGACTCAAACTATAGGAAGCGCAACGTTCTCTGTAACGTGGAATAACAACTAGCATCCGCTAACTGATAAATATAATATGAATTTCAATCATCAAATATAGGCAGTTTTCCACCATATTTCCTCAAACTACCTGAGCGAATATACCACCTGTATAGTGTATACTACGAGAAGCTGTACATCAAAACGGTGATAATACAATGCGAGAAAACGCATCCAACGTTTTCTCTCCAGTCCAGGCTGGACTGGACAGCAGATTCAGCTCACCCGTTCGTTGTTGATGTCGGCGAGGAACTGGGACACCTCGACATACTGCTGCTGTTTGAGGGGGTCGTGCCAGTACTGGGCCTGCACCAGATGAGACTGCACGAAACTGAAAATCAGGAGCAGAACGGATAGAGGAACGTAAGATTACGTAAACGCAGCGCGGCGAAAAAAAAAACATGTCAAGCAGCCTACTTACTGCATGTGTATTTTTCAGATAGACAGAAATAAAGATTAGGAAGAGAGGCATATAACTGGAGATAAATGGAGGGTAACCCAACTGAGATTACAGGTTACCTTTCGTATGCTCCGTAGTCAAGCAGCTTCTTGACGACCTCGCACACGCCTTTGGTACCGAGGCAGTGCGGTAGTCCGAACACGCCCTGGTGCTGGCCACCGAACGTGATGAGGTTCTTCATCGGAGGGCTGGGACACCGCTGCGCCACCGCCCGCCTGATGGGGCATGCGACAGGTCAAGGACACATAAATCAGGGCGTGGGCAACAGCCAATTCATTTCTAATGCACAAGTAAACGAATCAAAATTCAACTAAACCAGAAGCGCAGCTTTGTTGTATAGCCAAATCTCTCTGGGCTGGGTAGTTGTTAAAATATCCGGCATTCGCTCCACTCCCCCCTCCCCCCCCCCCACACACACACAAACACACAACCGGCATTTTAGAAGTTATCGAAGTGCGCTGCATAATCTAAATGAGTCAGGATCTGCATAGTGCAAAACAAAGTCCACTTAGCGCTTAGCACTTGCTCTTACTTCGCCCCGTTGCAAACTGGCTTTACTTCAAAACCTGCTGTTGTTGATATGTACACTACACGTCCTAGCCTACTGATCCTCTGATCGTAGCCACAGTGACAGTTTTTCTCTGCTCTCTACTGGACTCACAAAAACTGTCCTCCCTGGGAGAAGCCCATGGCGTTGTAGCCTCCCTGGAGGCTCTCATCAGCAGCGATCTTCTGACAGGCCTCCTCCACTTGGGCGTCGATCGGCATGAAAAAGCCGTTCAGGGTATCCTGAGGAGATAATTTCTCATGAGGTGCCATATTTAGCTGTCATAATTATCTGTATCGGACGTAACTTTTTATGGTTCCCTAATCCCTACATACCATGATTCCGCTATACAGCTGCACTGAATCAACTGTTGCGAAAATGCCGTGAGTGGCATCACTACCCTCAACAGCTCAATAAATAAAATATCTGAGACTCACTTGGATAACACTGGAGCCGATTTCCAGTGAGCGCACATACACGCCAGCTACCTGCTTTTCCAATTCCTCCTTGATGGCACCCATGCTGAATGGAAGGCAGCAGGAGTCTCCTAAAGATGAAAACAAACAAAATATTGACATTATGCACAAACAAATATGCACACGTCAAAACCAGCAGCACAAATGTAGCTAGAAGCATTAATTCTCAAACATATGGAATTAGAGATGTCTTGCTGAATGTGTTCTAATAACGGTGAATGGATACATTCTCTCCTGATCTCAACGAAAAATTGTAAGGCTCGATGGGTGCCACGCAAAGGCTCTCAAAAATGGTCTAAGGCATGCATTTCTTTCAGCAATATAACTAATCATATCAGTATTATCTGAGGATCAATTTTTTTCACGTCATTTTTCAAATGACTTTCATCTGGTCATTTTATGAGTGAACCGTAGAACGGTGCTTGTAAAGGGCACTCGGGAGCATAAATACAATCTACGTTAGAACTGAGTGCGAGAAGCTGTGATTAAGCAGAGAGCTCACCCATGCCGTGCCACATGACGACTGGAGTTGGCTCCTTTGCCGACACTGCCGTTACCAGCAGAAATGCCGCTACAATCACCGCCAAAGTCATGGTGCGTTGAAGAGACGACGCCGCTGTTCTTTCAAATAGTAATTTTCTGATATTTCTGAAAGGTAGGTACCAGAGCGTTCGTTAGAAGACAATATCACGACACGAAGCACAAAAAAAAACGATGGTCAAAATATGTTCCGAGCTCGAAGCTAGATGCCAAAAGCGAGACTGGTGTCTGAACTGAGCTGACTGTGTAATGTGCATTAAAAAACGAATTGGCTTCAAAATTATAACAGCAGAGTCCGCACAGTGCACACAGCGTCGTCCACGACCTAGAATGTTCCCTACAGGATCTCCAAGGAAGGTGAGGAAGATGCCACCAAAAGACTCCTTCAGAAGTAGCGTAGGCCCTGGCATTTTGACCACGAGGAAAGTAAACTCTGACGATCGATGTAGGTGTCATGTAGGCTGTCGGCAAAAGGCAGTGAGAAGGCACTTAGGAGCACAGTCCAGCGGACAGATCGAGAATTCAGCCGGCGTGTGCCGGCTGCCGCCAACTGCACTGAGGCTGCGTGCGTCGCAGATCCGGCACCCTGCCACACTGCTGGCGCCACCTGCAACTCCTGTGAACGGTGCTGCCGCTTAACGTGGCGATACACGCCAACTAGAGATCGCTTATCCCACGGAAACTAGACGACTGGGACGTGGCCAGTGGCAGGGTACATTGAATTGATGTTCTCGCCCCGGTCGTCGCGTGCTGGAACTGGCGAGCCGCCATGAGTCAGTCTACTCATCGGAGGAGCGGCCGCCCAGGTGAGGCCTCAACCCTCGGCGTGGAGAAGATAAGTATGAAAGACCTTGTTGAACGTCGCCAAGCGTCCTTAAGTAATACTGCGGTGGGTTCCTGCCCACTGCGGTATCGAGAATGAGATCGCGAACGACCTGGCTAAACAAGCAGCCGCCCTGCAGGCCCTGCCTTCAAACGACCGCTCGCTGACCCGGGCGGTTCATTGTGCGGCCTCGCGTCAATGGCGCGACAACTGGTCCGAGTCACTATTCAAGCCACTACTCGGGAGCACGCCGCCGCTCCCTATCCCCGGAGAGGACCGAGAGGACGCCGTTTCGGTGCATGGGCGGGCCACTGGGGCCGCTCGCTCCAGTACTCTGCACCGAATCGGCTGTCTCCACTCCGCGGCGTGCCAGTGCCCAGACAAGCGGTGCCCTGCGGCGCTCTGTGCCATGTGCCGAGAAGAGACTGATGTGCTGGAGCACGTGCTGCTCCGTTGCCCTGCCCTCGCTGGCTTCCGTCAGCCTCGAACACACCGCTCGTCCGATATTTGTGACTCCATAGCTTCCGGCCCACAACAGCCAACTGGTGGCTTCTTGTGGTCTGCATTTCATGATCTTGTCAACAATCATTGTGCAGCATGTCCAGGTATCCATTAACTTTTGTCTTTTAATCAGCAGTTAAGAAAAAATAATTGTTCAAATTTGGTAAACCAGGGCACTGTTTGGTCAATGTTTTTATATCAGCGTGCTGTCAGTTTTTCCCATTAGGAAGTTATTGCTGGCGTTTCTTGGCCTCTCATTGGTCTAATGAATAGACCACTTGAATTAGATCAATGATGAGCCAAGAAGTAGCAGCATGCTCGCAGCCTGCTGATAAATAAACGGGGGGCGAGCAGAACTCTGATCTTAAGCCCAACACCATGGCAATGGAAACACGGCCAGGACTCAGTCAGACTCAGTCTTACACCATCACCATGCCTTGGGTGCAATCAAAAATCATTTTAACTTTTCCACGTACAAAGTTGCTCCCTATAAATCCAAGCCAAACAACTATCCAAAACTGTTTATCCAAAAAAAGAAAAACAAACGAGCACAAACAAACAATCAAACAAACGAATGAGAAAACAACAAAAACGCAATGTGCTCTGCCTGCCACACTTACACTGCAAACAACCAACGCAGCCAACAACACAACAAACTTATACGGCCTTGCAACAAACGAGCAAGGCTGGTATAAATGCAATTGCATTGGTAGACACTTTGATCACGTGGCTTGAAAAAAATGCCAAATACGAAAAAATAGGGTCTTCAAAGAAGAACAAATATATGAAATAACCAGTTTATTTTTATCTTTTGTTAAATATTGCGTATATTCGATGTTCGTAGCATATTTCAAACCTTACCTTACCTTACCTTACCTTCACAGTGATCGGGAGGGAAAAGGCCACTTGGCCTGGAGATCCCGTTCTCATCGAGCTCTAGGACTAGGACAGTCTGGGCTCTTATGGGTATGGAATGTCATACTTCAGGCTTTTCCAGTGTTCGTCCAGCCTGGCCTTGAACTGATTGACGCTGGTGGCAGACACTACAGAAGCTGGCAGAGAGTTCCAGTCATTCACGACTCTTGTGCTGAAGGTGTTCCTCCTCGTGAGCGTTCTTGCGTTCGGTTTCTGCAGCTTCCACTGATGTCCCCTTGTGCGGTCGGAGCTGTGTCTGGTCGGAAGCGCTTCAGGATCCACTGACATGCCACCATGGAACAGCTGAAACACTGTCACCATGTCCCCTCGGCGACGACGATAGTACAGCGACGGTATGTCGAGACGGCGCAGACGCTCGGTGTATGGGAGATGTCTGATGGTGTCAACCATGCGAGTCGCTCGACGTTGTACCCGCTCCAACCGTTTCTGGTTGACTCTGCCAAATGGCCCCCATACAATGTTGCCGTACTCGAGGAACGGTCTCACCACAGACTTGTACAGCAGAGGCAGCGTGATCACGTCGAGGGTAGCAAATGAGCGCCTCACAACAGCCAACATCTGGGTCGCTTTTGCAATGGCAGCAGCAGTTTGTTGGTGGAACTTCAGGTTCTCGTCGATAATGATGCCCAGATCCCTCTCTTCGCTCACGCTCTCAATCGCGGCGTTATCCAGTAAGTATGTGTGCTCAGGATTCAGACCTCCGACATGCATCACTTTGCACTTCGACACATTGAAGGGCAACAGCCACTTCTTCGACCAGTTGACCAGAGCGTTGATGTCAGCTTGAAGGCCGGCAGGGTCACCTGTCACACGACGGTAGAGTTTTGTGTCGTCTGCAAACAGCTTGACACAGCTCGACACTTGCTGGGGCATGTCATTGACGAAAATCGTGAAGAGGGCGGGACCAAGGACAGATCCCTGGGGGATACCGCTGGTGACGGGGACCCAGTCAGACCTCGATCCCTGCAGCACAACCCTCTGAGTACGACCAACAAGGAAAGCCTCAATCCAACTCAGCAGCTTCCCCCCGACTCCATAAGCGCGCAGCTTACTGAGGAGTCGCTGATGCGGCACCGAGTCGAAGGCTTTGGCGAAGTCGAGGTATACGACATCAACTGGGTCACCATCTTCCAATGCAGCACTCCAATCTTCCATCACCTCCAGTAGCTGACTGGAACATGATCTCCTCGGGAGAAATCCGTGCTGAGCCGCATGCAGCAGGCCACTGTCCGTGAAGTGTTGAAGAAGATGGTCGCGAATGATGGACTCGAGCACCTTTGACGGAATGGAGGTAAGGCTCACTGGTCGGTAGCTCGCGGGGTTTCTGCGGTCGCCTTTCTTGTATATGGGGACTACTTCGCCAATCTTCCAATCAGAGGGGAGACTTCCTGCTTCCAGTGATTTTGCAAATAGCAAACTCAAGGGTACGGACAGGGGGCCTGCAGACTCGCGGAGCACTCGGGGATGAATAGCATCCGGCCCTGGCGAGCTAGTTGGCTTCAAGACCGCCAGCTTAGCCTCAACTTTCTGTGGCGATACATCCACGTCAACCAGTGGGGGTCCCTGGAAGTTGCATGGCAGAGCTGGGGGAGGCTCAGCTCCCTCTGAGGTGTAGACGCTGGAGAAGAACCTGCTTAGTACTTCAGCTTTTGCTCGGTTGCTGGACACAAGCTCACCGTTGTCATCCATCAGGTCTTCAACACGGCACCTAGTACGCAGCCTAGAGTTGGCGTACCTCCAAAATGCTTTGGGGTTCTGTCTGAGGTTCGATGCCAGCTTTGACTCGTGGTCCCTTCGAAGTTTTCTCGTCAGGCCCCTAAGCTGATTTCTGCACCTCACAAACCGGGCATGATCCACGTTGTCGAGAGTTTGACGGTAGACGCCCCACAGCACCTGCTTCCTCTTTCTCAGCTGCATCGCCGCCCGATTCATGTAGAGGTTCTTCCTGGAGTGGGCGCTTCTCTTGACCGAACAGTCTTCAACGTCTCCGGTGATTTGCGACTTGAACGATTCGTATGCTTCTTCCAGGTCCAAGTTTCTGATATCATCCCAGTTTCGTGACCTCAGGACACCTGCAAGGCGCTCGTAGTTGATGTGTAGAATCGGTGGGCGGTGTGAGGTACACACATCCGCATAGCAAACAATAGTAAATTTCAGGACAACATGATCGCTTCTGGCGAGTCCAGGAAGGTGCTCGAGATTACGAATCATGCCTTCTTCGTTGGTTAACACCAGGTCCAGTACATTTGGAGTTTCACCCAATCGAAATCTAGTAGGAGAGCGGACGTGCTGGAAAAGGAAGCAGTCATGTATCGTGTCGAGAAAAGTTTGTGAAAGATGGGTGTCAGGTGCGTTGGATGCTTCAGTTTCCCAATTGATCTGGGGAAAGTTGAAATCTCCTACAATCACCAGATGCGAGTAGGACATCGAACTTGCCTGTCGAATGAGCTGACCCAGGTGAGTGGCATGCTCTTCATCAGATCTTGACGGACTGCGGTAAACACATCCCAGCAGCAGACAGTCACTCCCAATCAGTGACAGTCTAAGCCACACATGTTCCACTGACGATGAGCTGAGAGAGACTTCTGACACCCTGAGATAATCAGCTGCGTAGATGCATACTCCTCTTATGCCGCTGCATCCAAGATTAGGAGATGATAGCGAGAAATTGGTGTAGAGTGTGTACCCAGGTATGTTGAGGAGAGCGGGGGCTATGGGAACTTTTTGGGCCTTGGGAATTGTCTCTGTTACCATAATCAGATCAGGCTCGTCATTACAGATGAGCATGCACATGTCATCCCGCTTACTCACGAACTGGTCAGCATTTGTGTATAACACACACAGACTCCTGGGCTTGTGGCTAGCTGGAGGCTGACCTAGTCACTTCTGCGCAGCAGGGGCAGAACTGGCCTGTGTTGGGGTGGTGAGTGGTCGTTGCACAGCCTGTGCCCCGCCGTCACCACCGGGGACAGCTGGGGCGCGTGTAGATTCTCTACTTTGAGCCTCTCCATTAGATGTTGCCTGTGCTTGTGCCCCACTGCCACTAGAGAGGACAGCAGGAGCCCTACTGCCTCCCTCCACCACGACAGTGGGTGGTACCTGTACAATTTTCCCCCCTCTGATTGTCAAGTTGGCTTCACCAGCCTTTCTGCGAGCTGCCATTTCTGCTCTCAACTTTTTGCCAGTCTCCCTTTCTTTCTGGGTGAGGTCTGGGGTGATATATATGTTCCCATACTGTTCGGAATGTCGGAGTTGGGGGGCCCCTTTCAGGATGTCATGTTTGCAAGCAGCATTTTCAAGAGTAACTATCAGTAGCCTTGGCTTGCCCTCATACTTCTTACCAACTCTGAATGACTTTGATGCTGGAGCATGGATCTTCATGACATCTTTCAGAATGGTGGTGAAGAGGGCCATGTCTTTAGCCGACCTTTCGCCCACTGTGCTGCCGTCCTGTTCAGGGAGATTGTGTATTACAACATTTGCTTTGCGTCGCTCCTTGTCCAAGTGGTCATCCAGCACCTTTGACAGCTCCTGCACATTTTTCCTGTCGCTAACCTCATTTGCTTTGGGGAGCATGGCTAGCTGAGATTTCACCACATTCGCAATCTCGCTACATGTGCCCTTAACAGTGTCAGCGTACGAAGCTTTGTGTTGCATGACTGACTGTTCGACAACTTTGACTTGTTCTTTGGCCTTTTTTGCATACTCCTGCAGGGACTTTTCCACCTGGTGAGCATGTTCCTTCATGGTTTGCTCCTGAACCTGGACTGAGCTGTCGACCGCTTCCATGTGCCTGATAATCATCTTTTCAAGCTGTCCGATCTTACTTTCAAGGGCAGCCAACATTGGGGGACGATCCTTCCTACTTTTCAGGTCCGACTTACACTTTGAGCACAGCCATGCAAGAGTGTCAAATCTCTCAAGGGCCCTAAGTGCTGCCTTCTGTATTCCCTGGCAGGCACCGTGAAACCAATCATGGCACCTGTCGCATTGGACTCCTGTTTCACCGTCCTTGACTGGGTTACCACAAACTTTGTTAGGGCCCCCTTTGCACACTGCCCCCTCGCTGCCAGTATCGCTGGATGAGCGAGAGAGGGAACTAACTGATTCCTGGCCAAATAACTTGTAAATGCTTTCATCAAGCTTACCGACTGGTTTGCTGGTGGCCTGATCCTTTATATAGGTTTATATAGCCTTGGCCTGATCCATACCTGCACGTTTTTCTGTACCTTCCCCGTCTCGCCCGTCTCCACCACTTGCGAACAGCGTTACCGCTGGCGTCTCGCTGGTTTCCCCAGATTCTCACAAAAATTTCCCTATTTTGAAAATCATTTCCCTAGATGCGGTTATTTTCCTGGATTTTGACGTACTTTCCTCATTTTAACCATTCGTGTTATAGTCGATGCGTCGTAAACAGCAATTAACTACATTCGTTACGTTAACGTAAGAGAGTCTAATGAGGCATATAGCAAATTACTGTATGTGGTAATGGTATAATATAAGTGCGTGGTATATCGTAAATTGTGGTGTGTTCATGTTGCGGGACGCGGGAAACTATACCGTATAGGTAGTGCTGGCGATAAGAGACGAGTCGATGCATTATTTCGCATGCCGTCAGTTTAACCGTAAAGAAGTGAAATGCGCTAGAAATTGTAAAAATCGCGCAAAAACAAAACGTTGATGTAAAAATTAGCCGCACCCGATATGGACAATACAAAGCATGGAAGCAGTTTGTTTTGAAATAATAGCAATTAGCAGGAATCATATATGCATGCATACATATGTAATTAACCCCCTATGTATTTAAAACGAGAGTATCAAACCTGATTTTGTGAAAATTGTTCTCATATTTATTTCATATGACATGCGGAAGAATAATTCATGACAACAATGATTTCGATTGTTGAAAAAACAACAAATTTTCGGGTTTGTGGTATTTCCCTAGATTTCGTGTGAAATCCATATATCCCTAGATCTTCGCTGATTTCCATAGAAAAAGGAAATTTCCCTAGCAGCGGTAACCCTGCTTGCGAAGTCCGTGGCGTCGTTCCCCGCGTCGGGGATCAGGTTTCGTGACGAATCTGGCGCGCGATTCTGCTCCGATTTGTCGTCTCGAAGAGATGCAGAAGGTCGACGCGGTAACACCGGTGAATGTTCGAGAGGCATTTCAAATTCTCATTTAAATTCACCAGAGACCATTTACTGTGTAGACCGATGAAGAAAATTTGCTTCGGAAAATTTGAAAAGCGACCGTTGGAGTTCACGTCAACAGCTGAGTCACAGCAACAGCTGACGAAGGAACAGGGCAGGAGCTCGATGCGACACGTCCGATCCCCACGATTTCCCCAAACCGTCTTATGAGTTGTGTAACCTGGCAGGCAGGGCTGCGGAGTCGATGGATTTTCAGCGACTCCGACTCCGACTCCGACTCCGGCTTTCAAAAACCAGCTCCGACTCCGACTCCGACTCCGGGCAGAATTGTCGACTCCGACCGACTCCAACTCCCGACTCCGACTCCGCAGACCTAGCAGGGCTGCGCCGCGGAGTCGACAGATTTTCGGTGACTCCGACTCCGACTCCGTCTCGGGTTTCTAAAATCGACTCCGACTCCGACTCCGGTCACAACTGTCGACTCCGACCGACTCCGACTCCGACTCCGACTCCGACTCCGCAGCCCTGCTGGCAGGTCCACGGGCCGAAGCTTGAGCTGGTGCTTTTTTCCTCTTGCGGCAGTCAATGAGGTGTATTGATTACGTTGCATATATGAGTGTTCAGTCATCGGATAGTTTTGTGGAAATCTTTGTATGTGTGGTAAACGCATACTATATTCATTTAGTAGTCACAAGCTACCACAATTGTCCTTGTCACGTCGCTTATGTCACAAATCACAATTATTTTTGGCGCGAACGTTGCGAAACGGCCTTGGTTGCGAACCGTTGCGAACCCCTGGTTGCGAACACTTGTCAGTGGGCATATAGGTATTTTTCTTATAATACCGCGTCTTTCGGGTTTTTTGTTGGTTAGATTAGATAAGTGAAATATTTTTATCCTCATTTTCTTTATTGCAACAATCAATTGGCTTCTTTATCTCTGGGTTTGCTATGGTTTGATGGGTAGATTTATTGGAATCAGAATGGTTCTCATTCTCCAATTTCTAGCTGCCAAAGTCAAATTGCTCATGATTCAGATGATTCCATTTTGAAGTTTGGGCCCATGCTAGTTTTGTGAATGTATTGGCTTTCTCTAAGCAGATGATTTTCCCAAGCTCACCTGTTTCCCTGCCCAGCACCCGAGCAGATGGGGAGGGCTGGGACGAGAAGGAAACTGTCGGAAAAATGTGCAAGTAGCAATTTAAACATCTGAGTTGAGATTGCCTTTCTTGCTTTAAGCTTAACGTATTTGAAAACTATGTCCTACTTAGAAATAGTTCATGTAAATACATTGGGTTTTCTGGCTGTATATGGCTTAAAATTGAAATGGCATAAGACCACTGGCCAGCCTTTAATGTGAATTGGTCAGTAAGTTTTGCTCTTGTGTAGCATAGCTAGCATGCCAGTTTCCACCTTCAAAATCCAATAGCATATATTGAGATCACTCAAATAAAAAATGGCATACAAAACATGATATAAATTGCAATCAAACTCCACTAAAATTTGACATTTTAGACTAAAATGTCAAAAGGCCATGAAAAAATGCTTATAAGTATGTGCCTAACCAATGACAGATCTCCACCATCTCAGGACAAATGACAGAGGTCTGAGCTTGAGAACATTCTGAGCATATTTGTTCTTACCTGAGCTAACCAAAAAACTATCCTCACCTGGTATTCTTACCTGGTAGGGTTCACCAAGCCTGGCAGCCCAAGGATGGGCAAGAAACCCAGGATCAAAGGATGTGCCAGTTGAATAGAGTTCACAAGTATAGAGGGTTTGCATAGCAACTGAGGTTAGAGCATCCACATTAAGAGCTCAAGAGAATATACATAAATCAAAAATATATGATAAAAAGTCATTCCCATCAAGTGTTTTGCAGGCTGGTGCAGTTTCTCATGAATGACATTGGACAAGACTCTTAAAGCTAGTTAGGTCTGGTGTGGTCATAACGTTTTCTGAAAGGCTATTCCAGATGTGCATGCATTAGGTATACTCTTTCTCTATAGAGAAAGAGAGATGAGGAACATCTAGCAAAACATGTTACATGCATATCTTGTAACAATGGTCTCGAGTGCAGCCATATACCTACCTAATGGACAAGAGAAGAACATCTTTGGTTTTATATGACTTTTGCCATCAAAGATTTTACATTATTTGATTAAGTCTGGACAATGGTACATGTACAATGTACATGTATGTAAGCCTTCCTGCAACTAAATACCCATCAAGTTTTCTCAGATAAATCTTCTACTGTGTCTAGACCATATCCGTTGGACACATTCCAGTTTTATCAAATCCCCTTGTGTCTGGCATATCTCAAGCAAGAGGCATATTTTATCTGCTGTCTTACATGAGTTTCGAAGAGAAACAACATGATATCAGATGAGCGACCGACAGTTGGCTTAAGATAGCTGACACAATCCTCACTATCATCAGGACTTTTGGGTCTCGAGTGACCTATGTTATCTTACCTGACCTTCAGTCAGAATGGAAATAGGTACCTATGTGAACTGGGTGTACCTGGCTTCTCATGGGAGAAGGATCTCTGACACTTACTGTCATGACATGCATCTAGATATTTTGTTTAAACTCTTTCAGGATTTGACAGTTCTTAATGAATTTTCCTTTTTGTTGTTCCAGGTTTCAGATGAAATAAATCCTGGAATCGTCTTCTCTCTTCCCCTGCCACACTCCACGATGACGATGGACTCTCTGGACATCGCTGGGTCTGCCCAGCAGGAGTTCGTCACTGACAGCAACGAGGCCCTGGAGCTGAAGCTGGTACGCTGCAGAGAGGATCTGGAGCGTGACGATGCCTCCTTCGCCCCAGAAATGTCGCATCAAGTGTTTGGTGATACAGAGACCATCTTTGGCTACAAAGGTCTGCGTGTAAAGCTTTACTACTCGGCAGCCCGTCTTGCTACATACCTCGGCATGACGTACGAGACGAAGATCGACCCTAAAAAGTCGCAGGGTGTTGAACCGGACGAAGTGCTGAAACCCGTGGCTGATAAGCTTCCTCCGAAGTTCTTCACCAACATTGACGAGTTCGTGAAGGCTCTTGATAAGGACGCGTCGTTCCGTCCGTTCGGTGAGCTTCACCATACATTCTCGCCGAATTCGACATCGGACAGCGACGCGTCACGCACTTTCGAGATCTACTACTGCACGGCGCAGACGCCCGGCCTCCGAGAGTACCACCAGGCGCTGCAGACGTTCATCCTGTGGTACATCGATGCTGCCAGCTACATCGACGTGGACGACGACCGCTGGCGGTTCTTCCTCTGCTTCGAACGGTACAGCAGCGCTGAGGGCGAGACGCGGTACGCCATAGCGGGCTACACAACTGTCTACGAGTACTACGCCTACCCTTGCAATGTTAGGCCCCGCATCAGTCAGATGCTGGTGCTTCCACCTTTTCAGAAGATGGGTCTGGGCGCAGAGATGCTGGACGCCGTGTATAGGCACTATATTCCGGACACGCGCGTGATCGACATCACCGTAGAAGATCCCTCCGACAACTTCACGAGGTTACGTGATTTCGTGGATTGTCGCAACTGCGCCAAGCTGGCCGCCTTCCAGCCGAAGAAGCTGATGCAGGGCTTCGTCCCGGAGATGGCCGAGGAGGCCAAAAAGTGCCTGAAGCTGAACAGCAAGCAGGTGCGCCGTGTGTACGAAATCCTGCGACTGAAGGCAACGAACGTCTCCGACAAGGAAGAGTACAGGAACTTCCGCCTGGATGTCAAGAGGCGCCTGTACACGCCGTACCAGAAGGAGGATTCTGACATGAAGAAGCTGCTGAAGGTGCTTCGCCCGGAGGAGCTGGCTCTCTCCGTCACCAGTCGGGAGCAGCGGCTCGAGACGCTGGACCGACTGTACACGCAGCTGGAGGAGGAGTACAAACACGTGCTGGAGCGATTGGCCCACCTCTGAGGTGAGGACGGGCCATGTGCATGATAATTTCCCCATCTTTGGGCGTTTTGGGGTGACGCCTCGGATTTCTACTGTTAATACAATGTACATTTTCATAAGATGACTGATACAGTGCATTTACAGTTTCATAAGGTGAAATGACTGATGGAGTGTGTTGGAAGCGATACCATGTATCACACGTACCTAGCACAAACATTTTGTTTTCACCAATTTTTCCTTGGCCTGATAAGAAGGGTTCTTGCAAACTCGAACACGCTTCGCTCCACCTCCATCTGCTACGTAGAAGACCACACCCTTTACGAGCCATTCGGCCAGGTCCCACTTCCCTTCCAGTTTAGTTATTTATCATGCTACTTTTATATCCATCAAGCCAGTCAACATTCAGCACAGATTAGTTACGCCTCGGATGGCGACCAAGCACACAGAACGATCGATATGATACGGGCGATCGGCGGCAAGGCTCATTCAAAAGCACACCCGACCGCAGGAAAGCGGTCAGTGAAGGCCGTGGGCCCTTAGTTTTACAGCATTTTGTCGATGATGCGAACCTTGCGGTCCTGCTGAAATTCCCAGTCCGGGGACTGTTTGTTTGTTCCAACCTTGTGAAGCTTTGTTACCACTATTTCCACCATGGGGCGCTCCAGAGAGCCAAAGCTTCCCTGTTGATTCCAATAAGCCAACTAACAATAGACCCGGGCCTGCTTTTACAGGTGGTATCTCTAATATCGGCGCTGATTTTGTGTCGGTAATTCGAAGTTCAATGGCCGTTCTTAGTTGCAACATTGACCAGTCCAAAGGTCAAGAAGAACTCCCACTGAGCATGTTTTGGCTATGTCCAGGCTTCGAACCGGACTGGGTCTGGGCCCTGAATTAGATTCAACCCTCTCCGCCATTGCGTCAGGCTAAGGAATGATTTTCATTTTATTGACACACTAAGACAATACAACAATGGAATAAGTACGCTGGTAGATACGGTTATGGCAATCATTTCCAAACACCGAATTTCTGCGAACCTTGCGGTCCTGCTGAAATTCCCAGTCCGGGGACTGTTTGTTTGTTCCAACCTTGTGAAGCTTTGTTACCACTATTTCCACCATGGGGCGCGCCAGGCTCACTGAAGGGTCCGCCGTGGGGTGCGCCAAGTCCGCCGTGAGGCGCGCCAGGTCCCCCATGAGGCGCGCCAGGTCCGCCGTGGGACGCGCCAGGCCCACTGAAGGGCCCGCCAGGTCCGCCGTGAGACGCGCCAGGTCCGCCGTGGGACGCGCCAGGTCCGCCGTGAGGCGCGCCAGGTCCGCCGTGGGACGCACCAGGCCCACCAGGTCCGCCGTGGGACGCGCCAGGGCCGCCGTGAGGCGCTCCAGATCCACCGTGGGGTGCGCCAGGGCCGCCGTGGGACGCGCCAGGGCCGCCGTGAGGCACTCCAGATCCACCAGGTCCGCCGTGGGGTGCCCCAGGTCCGCCGTGAGACGCTCCAGATACACCGTGGGGTGCCCCAGGCCCGCCGTGAGGCGCGCCAGGTCTGCCGTGACCCGGCTGCAGCAGGTACAGTGGCACCTGGTGGATGTTGTGTGTTGGACCTTGGCCCGCGCTGCCGGCACCGTGACCGCCGTGGCCAGCCTGCGGCGCCTGTGCGTCCTTGTTCAGGACGATGATGAGTGGTTGGTTACCGGCGCCATGAGCTGAGTTAGCACCTCCGTGGCCTTGGCCAGCTCCTCCATGACCGTGACCTGCTCCACCATGGCCGGCTGGTCCATGGCCGTGGCCGCCTCCTCCATGGCCGGCTCCTCCATGGCCATGACCTGCTGCTCCATGGCCGGCTCCGCCATGGCCAGCCGTTCCGTGGCCGTGACCTGCGGGTCCGTGGCCAGCTCCATGAGGAGTCTGTTGCCCGTTGCCGACGACGAGGACGATCGGTTGACTTTGAGTGCCGTGGCCTCCAGCTGAGTGCGACCCTCCGTTGGGAGCTCCACGAGAAGACTGGCCAGTCCGTCTTTGAGCGCCCGCGGATGGAGAGTGGCCGCCACCCCCGGAGGCTCTTGACGGAGCTCCACCTCCTTGGGCGCCTCCTGCGCCCGATCCGTGCCCTCCACTGCCCTGGGCTCCGTGACCACGAGGGGGTTCTTGCCCGATAACCACAACCACCTTCTGGGGGGTCCCGCTAGAGCCGTGGCTACCGCCTCCAGAACTATGGCTACCGCCTCCAGGTCCGTGGCTACCGCTATTGCCATGGCTTCCGCCGCCATTGCCGTGGCTTCCGCCACCATTTCCGTGACTACCGCCGCCAGAGCCGTGGCTACCGCCGCCAGAGCCATGGCTACCGCCTTGACCAGCATGTCTTGGCTCTCCGACGACTACGTGAATTTGCTGCACATTCTGACCTGTGCTGCCTCCTTGGCCATTCTTCTTTCCACTGGGTTTGGTGGGTTTTGTGCCCTTTTCGGCAGGTTTTTCGACAAGTACGGGCACCTCCTGTACGTGGAGGTGATGTTTGACAGTGGGCTGAAACAGGTGGCTGGCGAAGGGGAATCCCAGTAGTCCGTGGTCGATCACGGTGACAGGATCTTGATAGAAGTCGATGAAGTTCATTGTAGTGGTACTGGAAACAGGAAGAGCACATGTAAATGCATGCCAAAATATTACCCATGTACAAGAAGAACCTTGCGCTAATGTATTCTTAGAAGACATTATATTTTAATCGGAGGCTCCGAGAGAATTATCGAACACTCGTCTATAGCATGAACGCTGAAAAGATGTAGCTTCGAAAAAGCACTAGCGTCAAACAAAGCCTAGGTAAACTGAACGTTTAATCACATGTTTCGGTCGGACATTTCCACCAAAGACGTGACCACTCACTCGAACAGGTGTGGGTTGACGGTCGAGAGGCCAGTGGTGGAGACCAGGGAGGTGAACGGGTACGCAGAGGCCGCACCGGCCAGCGCCACGAGGGACAGAACCTGCCGGTACACATATTACAATAGGTCACACTGATGCGTCAGGAGAACTTGTTACCTTTTGTTACGTTATCCTACCACGATAGAAATCCAAACCCGCAGAATATTGTTTGCGTTCGTGACTCGTGAGGTAGCGAAACCGTTGACGTCTCGCCGACATTTATCCTGACACTGAAGCATCGGGTGATTCTGCACCCGGGGTCTAAAAATTTATCGACACATTCTCCAAATGTCTGAAATGGCAAAATATCATCGACTTGTATTTCATTGCACAAACTGAAAGTTGAATCAGATGTAGGTACGTATTTGTATTTATCTCATCTGAACAAAAGCGCACGCCTAACGCGAAAAAAAAATATACTTAGACGCCCATTGTGGAGATGACAAGTATTTGATATAGTCATTTTATGTAAAACAATGATCGGGAGGGAGCACGGATGGGAGCCATCACTCACCAGCTGCCTCATGGTTGCTCACTCGTGCACAGCACTGCACTCGGGCAGCGGGCGGACCGTTTTATATGGGCACCACCACCGGTACGGCACACCGACCCCACAAAAATGCCCGCCGTCCTGCGCTCGGTCAGCAGTTTCCGGCTCGCTCGGCGCGGTTATGTGGTTGTCCCTAACGCGCGCGCAGGCGCCGCTCGGCCTGAGAACGGTACAGCTCGGGAGGACCGCCGCGTCGGCACGCACCACTTGGGAGTTTTCCTGGGGGACGTGTGAACTGGCATGATCCTGTCATTCCTCAATCCTTGTTACAACGCCACCTGAGGCTTGAGACCAGTGTTCTATTATGAGCATAGGTAGTTATGCTTAGGTTCATGCCTACAATTCGCTAGGCTTTTTAGCGGCACCTTTGGTCATGGGTTAGGACCCGACCCGTTTTTTTTTTTGCCGGAGATGATCTCTAGATAACGTACAAAAAAGGGTCCATGGTTACGGACTTCATTGCCCTGGGTACGGCGTGGCGCATTTGCAATGCTTTTGTTCTCATAAGACGAAATGTGTGCTTATCTTTTCGTTGTTTACGTTAACGTATATTTTGTATATTATGAGCAATAAATGTAGGTTCCTACCTACCTACATGTTTATTGTACCTAGGTATATATTGCGTGATAAAGAAACATTCTGTTGTCGATGACTAATACTTGCCGGACCTATCGGTTTTCTTCCTAGGTTCTCGATACTCTCCGTCAGGGGTGTCGTTTTCCGAAAATGATTGGTAGTGCCCAAAGGCGGCGGCTGGCCATATATGACGGGGCTTACAAGGTAGGGTACCCCCAAATCTGCCTTTCTCATCGGATTTCGGCCACTTATTTTTCGCCCTGGTCATTGACAAGACTAACCGAAATCTAAAAAAAAAAACACAAAAAAAAAACTTTGGAAATATGGGTCCACACCGGACGCCATGCACAAAACGTGCAGTTATATAGGCAATAGTGTCGGAGGAATGCACGCCATTCTGAAAGAGGCCCACATCGACTTAACCCTATTAGTGGCAGGCTCCTGGCTACCCCTATTAGTGGCAGGGGGGGGGCTGCTTACGACCCCCCTTGATATCTCGAGATCTAATGGGCCGATTTTCAAAATTCAAACGGCATTCGATTTCGCTCAACGTGATCTACATTTCTAAAAGATAAAAATTAAAAAATGTCAATAGGGGGGGGGGGGTAGAGGGGGGTAAAAACGGGCAAATTGCAGATACATTTTAGACTGTTTATCACGGCCAGGTTTCTGAACCAATCTTAATGCAACTTTTGCTGATCGATAGAGAATGAACCAGGAATTCACATGGATCCTAAAAATATGCATTTTCAAAAATCATAGGCGGATACAGATCATTGAGATTGGGGGTACACAAAAAGTATAGTAAATAAGGTTTTTGTTGGTACTGTTTCTAAAAAGGGCTGGTAATGGTCTTGTTATGTTACAATTTTCTTATGAGAGAACGACTACAATTGTATTGGTCATGCATAGGCGGTGTCAGGGCACCTATGTTGGGAGGTAAAACATAACCCCCCTTTTTGGACGCCTGGATCCGCCTATTATAGCAAAAACGTGTCAAAAGAGGATGCACAATAACTGTATATGTTATCACATGATACCTTTCATTCACTGTTCGTAAAACTGGTGCAGCATCGTGATCTTCGCCCAAATGACTCGCTTCACGAATAGGACCCCCCAATTCCCAGTGCTCTGGAGCCGCCCCTGGTAAAGTTATGAACTTGAAATTTTCAGGGAATGTGCCCAATTTAGTTTTAGGAAAAGTCAGAAAATTTCAGCATCGTAGCTTCAGCGGTTTCGGAGATATTCACGAAAAACCTGAGGGGTGAATAAAAACAACCCCCCTGCCACTAATAGGGTTAAAAGGACGGCTGTGCTGAAAGGGGACAGGAACAGCTTTGAGAGCCCAAGCCGACTAAAAAAGACGGCTGCGGGGCCAGGAACGGTTTTGAAGACCCACGCCAATTGAAGGGTTCGACAACTAACGATGACTGGAAACACAACGATAGTTAGAAAGACCTGCTTGCCAGAATAAAAGGATGACAGTACGAGGGGCGTTCAGAAAGCTACGGGCCCGACCATGAAGGAGCAGAGAGATACAGCATCGACTCATTAGACCAAAAAGTTCATTTATTCAAATAAACACCGTTAAGACAAACACATTTCGCGCAGCGCTTCGCGAGAGCCCTCAAGGCCTCCATAACCAAGTGGGTTTTGGACCCATCCTGCACGTCCAAGACGGCTGATTTCGTCTCCCTGCTGTTAGCGAGGTTGCCGCTGCTAATTTTCTGATGTTGGGGAAGAGGTGGCAACCACTAACCAGAGTGTGCAAGGTTCGGAGAGAAAAAGTGGATGCGACAACAACTCGAAGCTCATCGCTTCACTGTTCGTCATCCCGCCCATGTCCGCAGGTGCGTGGTCGCGGATCAGGTGCACACTTTACGTCAGCTTCCCTATAGCCTCTCCTCGATGTTTATCGAATGGACGCACATCATCAATTGTGTGCCCCTGTTTTGGAAAGTTGACGAGCGGAGGGGGGGGGCGCATCGACCCCTCCCCCTGCCAGGCCGTGTTATGAAAAATGTCCAGGGCGAGGGTTAACGCTTGGTGCCTTTTCTGCACTAACTACTATGAAACGAATCACTGCTCTCTTCTGGGCGTCGCCCATCCTATCCGAAATGGCGAACTATGCTACGAATAGAAGCCCGAATCAATCACAGAAGAGACTTAATTAATGGCCACTTACTTAATTTGCGTAAGTGGACATCCCAATAACACATCATTTAACACACCGCCTTGCAGGCCAAAATTCCAACTCCTTCATTGTTCGGCCCGAAACTTTTTGAACGCCCCTCGTAGTTACGAGCTTCAGTTTTCGGGGTCTGATGCGGTAATGACCTGGCGTTGAACCCTGGGGAATCAGGCTGCATCACCCACTCAAATCAATATAGGGGAGAGCGGGGCCAGTTGAACCACTTTTTATATATTGACATGCACAGCGAGATCTAGTAGTCATATCGAAAAATGCACAATGCCATGAAAAAATATGCTCTTTTGGCTTTATTTTAAGATATGTAAAATTATGTTTCAAACATATTTTGCTGCCAAACGCATGCTTATAAAACAGCTCTACGCCCGTTTCAAATGACCCCGATGCGAGGGTCAATTGAACCAGCCCATGGGGTCAATTGCACCTATCCTTAACAATGGGATGTTTTCCTATTTAAGGCCACTTTTTTAAGGAGATATTTTGTCCGGTTTACTTTTCCAAATGCTACATTCAATAGGTCATTGGAAAGCTAAAAGTGCAAAGTTCCTCATAATAGGTAACATAAAGTACATAGACTATGGTAAAATGGGCGGATGAGAAAAATGAGAAATATCTCAGGCTATAGTGTGCTTTCAAGCAAAAGGCTGGAGAAGAAGGGGTCAAAAATTGAGCTCTATTAAACTACTATTTCAGTTTAAAACTCATTTCAAAGGTGGACTATTTCCTTTTTAATGTTTACAGCCCCTGAACAATAACCATTGCAAAGGCCACCGGGGTCCATTGAAACGGCCTGTGGCCTTGTTTCAACTGACCCTCAGAGAAGCGTTTCAATTGACCCCATCCGCTCCCGCCATCTCGCACGCGCCGTAAAGCACATGTCAAACGAGCTGGAGGGACGGCATCATGCTGAATGAAGGGCCAAATAAGGTGTTATTCCGGCGCCAGGAGTTTTTCTTTCAGCAAACAAAGGTATATGAGATATCACAAAATATTAATAAAAACGATTTCTCCCAAACGCCCCTCAAAAACACAAAAACAAGTGTCAAATCAAAATTGCCGTCCGCTTGCCGCCCAAACGCCGTTGACAAAGGAAGTGGTCGAGCGCGGATGCGCAGTGGTGTCGGCAACGCCATATGTTGCATACTGTTGAAAATAAAGCCATGTTTCATCTGACCCCGTGTTTCAACTGGCCCCGCTCTCCCCTACCTATGGCCTATTCTGGAGCACCGCGGCACCTTCCGAAGTCGGTGTAGGGCCTCCAGCGGCTGGTGTGGAGACGGATCGGGGTCTATTAGGGGCGGTCGCGTGGTATGCGGGACTCAGAGGCAGTTATGGACCTCTATAACCAATTGCGTTTTC